TGAGATGATGATAAGGGAAAATGAAGAGATGAGCAAGAGAGGGAAAAACCCAAGCAAGGATTTGTTACCAACTTAACTCCCATGGATGAGAGGAAGATGATTAGTGGTATGTGACAAAAGAAAGTAATTTTTTCAGAGAAATTAGGGAGCTATGAAGGGAAATAGGCTGAGGACCAGCGAGAGGAAGGTGAGAGGCCCAAGGCACATGAAGCCACAGGAAGTGGAAGCCTGAAGCCAACTAGATCTGGTTCTTGGTGAGCATATTCTGTAGGTGTAGGTATAAACTGTTATAGTTGGGATGCCATGCTGAGTCAGAAAGTTGGGTTTAAAATCCACTCTATTCTGCATGTGGCCTTTGGTGTCTGGCTTCCTTATCACAGTGGGATGGTGAGCACACCACCCCGCCTTCTTAGGTTGTAATTAAGATGATGTCTGTATAGTACTTGGGAAAGTGGCATATCATAAATGGTGAATAATGTTCATTCTTAGCTTGCTATGGGATTTTTTTAAACTGGGATATGAATTCAAAACCCTGTTCATGTTAGCCAGGCACCCGACTGCTTGAGCCATGGTCCCAGCCCCTTTTATACTTTAGTTATTTTTCAAATGAGGTCTCATGTTTTTGCCCAGGGTCTGCCTCAAAACATGGTCCTCCTACCTATACCTTCCTGTAGCTGGAATCACAAGTGTGTGCCACCAAGTCTGGCTGTTGCTTGACATGTGTGAATAGGTGGGGTTCACTTAATTTTTGTTTATAAGATGACCTCAAACCACAGTTCTCCCCATCTCTGCCTCACAATTTGCTGTGGTGAGCTGCCACACATGGTATTTTAAAGGAATAGAAATGCAGGGTTTTTCTTTTGAGTGATCAGTTTTTGTAAGTTTAGTGTAAAATTTCTGTTAGCAGCAGTTCTAGTGAATAGCATATTGGTCTTTCCTGGGTTTAAAAACAATGAACCATAGGTCTGGGAAGGTGGCTCAGTGGTAGAGTGCTTGCTTTGCATGCCTGAGGCCCTGGGTTCGATTCCTCAGGACCACATAAGCAAAAAGAAAAAAGCCGGAAGTGACGCTGTGGCTCAAGTGGTAGGGTACTAGCCTTGAGCTGAAGAGCTGAGGGACAGTGCCCAGGCCCAGAGTTCAGGCCCCATGACTGGACAAAAAAAAAAAAAATAGGGCTGGGTATGGCTCAAGTCTTAGACTAACCTAGCAAACATGAGGCCCCAACACTCTATACCCCCCCCACACCTACCTATTCACATGCTTTTCATTTCTTATGCTCCACCTGAATAGTCAGCGAGCAATGAGAAATTGTTTTTAGCTTTGCAGAGAATTAAAGTGGGCTGAAAGTGACCAAAATAGAACATTTAAAAGCTAATTTGAAATTAGCACTTCCATTTTTAAAGTTGATTGCTACCATTTACTAGTTGTTAAGAGCTATTTTCCTGGCCTCTGAAATATGAAATTGTTTTTTATATGCCTTATCTTCAATTACAGATGCTTTGTGACATTTATGATATTTTACTTCATTAAGAAATTAAGAATTAAGACATTTTAATAAGGCTTTAGAATACTAGTAATAGTATATAGTAGTAGCTATTCAATATTGGAACTTTGTGTGGGCTAAGGACTGTGCCAGGTTCTATGAACATATAGAAATAAAATCCTGGTTGTAGCCTTGCCAAGTTTATAACCTATCTACCTATTACTGAGTTACGTTTCCTGTTTAATAGTCTGCTGGGGTAAAATGACACAACTAAGCCATCTCAAGCCCTCTGGATCCAGATTCCGTCCTGTCTTTATGTCGAAGATAGGAATTAGGGCTACAGTCCTAACGCTGACTTTTGTAGACTTAGTGTGGCCATTTCTATTTGCTCTTCTGTTCACAGAATTGTGGAAATGAAGATATTAGAGTATATGGACTATAAGGTAGCATTTTGAATTCTTGGATATACCTGATGACATTTCTAGCGTTTCACATGTACTATTCTGTACTATCACTGAATAGTCAATACATTTAATGGATTTAAGCTAAATAGCTTTGATAGTTTATTAAAAATTACCAAATGTTCTATTTTAGAAATAAAAACAAAGTTGGGTGCCAGTCTAGCTACACAGTAGGCTGACATCTGTGGATCGAAGTTTAAGACCATTCTCCAATATACTACTCAAAAAAAGCTGGAAATTGTGCTGTGACTCAAGTGATAGAGCGCTAGCCTTGAGTACAAAGAGGCTCAGGGACAGCACCCAGGCCCTGAGTTCAAACCCCAGTACCAGAAAAAAAAAAGAGAGAGAGAGAGATGATAGAAAAATATAGCTATCTTCCATAGTAACTACGTACTTTCCCAGCTGAGTTTTTGTAGCTCAACTGCTTGTTAGGATACCATATAGTTCACATAGAAAACACACATTTAGCTGGGCGCTGGTGGCTCACGCCTGTAATCCTAGCTACTCAGGAGGCTGAGATCTGAGGATCGAGGTTCAAAGCCAGCCCGGGCAGGAGAGACTGTGAGACTCCTATCTCCAATAAACCACCAGAAAACCGGAAGTGGCGCTGTAGCTCAAGTGGCAGAGCGCTCGCCTTGAGCTGAAGAGCTGAGGGACAGCGCCCAGGCCCAGAGTTCAAGCCCCACGACCGACAAAAAAAAAAAAAGAAAACACACATTTATGATTGTCAGATAGTGTGTTTCATATAAAGTCATTTCCTTTGTAATAGAAGTTATTCAGCACTACCCCTGTCTACTGATGAGGAGAAAATGCCAGAAATTTTTTTAAAAATGTGAAACACACCAATAATGCAAGACACTGGAGGAGTGCTCAGGGTCATTTACATAGGATGGGCTGATGAGTGGAATGGGCAGTGAGAGCCTTCAGGAGGAGAACTAGTAGTTAAATTTCACAAGACTGTGGGCTTAAAAATAATTAGTAGGAGACAGGTTTAGAGTTTACTTTTTTTGTTAGTACCTCCTAGTGATTGGTACAAGCATTTATATAGATTTGCAGTAAGGTAAAGGAAGAAGATAGAAAACCTAACAGATTAGAGAATTTCTTTGCAAACTGCTATCATTTTTAGTTTCTTGTTTGAAGGATCCTAAGAACTCACACCATTTATTTTCAGCCTGTCAAGTGCTGTGAGGTAGCATGTTGGCTCATGCATGTGCTGGTCTGCACTCCAGTGCAGAACAGAACAGAGCCTTTAAGAGGCTCTGAATTAAAGACATGTTGCTTCTGGCTTAGAAATGGTATCTTTTTAGAGATCTGACTAAATAACTATCCAGTGCTACCTTGTACAAAATTTAGTATTTGCTTTTTCTTCCTTCCACTGGAAAAAGGTTACAAATGTAGGGACAGACAAGAACTGAGATCCAGACTTCTATCTATGTAGTGCCAACCTCATCTACTGCATGAGGAATTAGAATATTTACAATTACAATACTATAAACAATATTACAGTAACTTTAAGGCCAGGTGTCCCTTTGTGAATTGTAACATTCTGCAGAGCTAAATTTTTGCACCAACCATTAAGATTATACTTCTGAGCAGCTATCAGGTAGAAGAGGCAGGAGGATCTCAAGTTTGACACCAGCCTAAGCTACCTAATGAGTTTCCAAATTTCCTCAAAATAAATAAAAATAAATAAACAAGGAGCTGTTTCAAAAATAAATAAACAAGGGTCTGGGAATGTGGCTTAGTGATAGAGTACTTGCCTAGCATGCATGAAACCCTGGGTTTGATTCCTCAGTACCACATAACCAGAAAAAGCCAAGTGGTAGAACGCTAGCCTTGAGCACAAAGAGGCTCAAGGACAGTGTCCAGGCTGAGTTCAAGCCCTAGAACAGGCAAATAAGTAAGTAAATAAATAAATAAATGAATAAGTAAATAAGGTTTTTCCTTATAGGGTTTAAAAATGAGCAAGGTAGGAATTTTTAAACAAAGTGTATAAAACCTAGTAAAAATTTAAAGTATGATTCATGGTGTAGTATTTTATTAGTTTATCTTCCATTATCAAAATTGGCATCATTGTCAACCAAGATGATGTATTGGGGAAATTTCAAGGGCTGTGTAGAGCAAATTTGAGCTGGCAGACAGATCAATGATATTTAGAAAGGTCATGTTACTCATATTAAGTTATTCGTTTGAAAAAGTATATGTAAAGAATCCTGAGAATTCTTCATTTATAACTTTGCATTGTACTTCCTATCTTATTTAGGAAAGGAGCAACTGCATCCCAATACTCTTTTGTAGAAAACTACAGAACCTTGTATCCATACCCATCCTGGGAATAAAAAAGAAATGATCCTCTAGATATGCAAGGAAAACTAAGCATATGTGCACATATTTTTATTTGAAATTTTTAACAAGTGGGCTAACCCTCCTCCTCCATGTTAAAGGCATTGTTATGTTTCTAACAGTGGCCCTACAACACTGTTTGGGGCAGAGCTTGATGCTTGCATTGATTGCCCCAGGCACTGTGAACATGTGATCATGTATCCCCTTGCTTTCAGCTCTACCGATTACTAATTGTTCTCCCCCTGTAACATCTGCTGGAAACAGTGGGCATTGAGGGACATACTCATCATTTATGAGCATCCTGCTCTTTATTCCAAAAGTATCCTATGGAGCCATTCTAATTCAGAATAGAACGAAGCAAAAATATTACCAAGGAGATAAAACATAAAATTGAAACACAAACCTAAGAAATATATTACCAAAATATATTACATTATTAACATTTTTACACTGGAAATATACAATCTAATTACTTTTCTATTTTGCCTCATTATTGACAGGAAATATTAATCATTGAGTTTTTATTAACACAAAGTTTTTCTTTTTACTTTATAGTTGTTAAGATAACCTCTGTTTTGGAGTATGATTTCATTTATGAAGTAAATGTTCCCTGGAGATATTATATATATGCATATATATATATATATATATATATATACACACACACACATACATATGTGTGTGTGTGTGTGTGTGTGTGTGTATATATATATATATATATATATATATACACACACACACACATACATATGTGTGTGTGCGTGTGTGTGTGTGTGTGTGTGTATCTTCCATGCTGGTAGAGAGGAGAGGACTAATACATGGTGAAAGGACTACTAATTGAAAGCCAAATCGTCATTTTTCTTTGTAAAGAAGTCCTGCAGAATTCATGGTACAGTTTACTTTGCTGTGAAGTCCAAGGTATGGTCCTTTTTATTTTCCATTTGAAGACTTGGAGTGTATCATCATTTGCGACTCTGTCATTTCACGTGAATTTTCATCAGGGGCTGACCTCACAGCACTGGAAATTGATACGCTGACTTGCCGTTTTAGCATCTTCATGACCTTTCTCTTGTAACCTTTACATGCAAAGAAATATATGAAAGGATCCATGCAGCAGTTCAAGTTCATCAGGCAAACTGTAAAGTGAAGAGAAATCTGGAAAGAGAATCTTTGGCTGCATTCTATGAAATGAGGAGAGCAAAGCTTCTTAACCATGTGTTGAATAATTGCAACATGGTAAGGTGTGAAGCAGAGAACAAATACAACGATGATAAAGATAATGGTGTTGAGTGCCTTTTTGTTTACACCAGACTTCTCTGTTAATGGGTTCCTTTTAGCAGTTCTAAAAAGTTTGCAACAGATTTGGGAATAGCAGATGAGAATGATTAGGAGTGGTAGCACATATCCCAGGAAACATGCACCCAGCAGAATCCAAGGAAGAGAATCTGTCTCTTCAAAATTGGGATATTCCATGCAAGTAGTCCTTCCAGCTTCTTGCTTTGACATAGGGTTGATGAGTAGTGGGAGCGTTTGAGCAAATACTAGTACCCAGACAAATATGCAAACACCCTTTGCATATTCAATTCTTTTGATCTTGTTGTAACGCAGAGGGTGCACCACAGCAAAGAAACGGTCAATACTTAGGCAGGTCATAAAGTTTACACCTGCATATGTGTTGATGTAGAACACAAGAGCACTTATCCTGCACAAGGCGTCACCTATTTTCCAGTCAAAGCCCAGTGCATAGTAGGCTATCCGAGTGGGCAAAGCAGTGGTAAACAGGATGTCAGAAATCACTAAATTTGTTGAGTAGAGGGTGGTAGAGTTGATTTTTTTCCTGTTTTGAACAATGACAACCAAGGCCAACAAGTTTCCCATCAGCCCAATGATAAAGACAAGGCTGTAATGCACAGGCATTAGTATTCTAGCTGTGTTGTGGTGAGCATAGAGATCACAGTAATTTCCCTGATGAGTTGTTGAGGGAATAGTAACATTGTTAGCCATTTCTATGTCCAGCAGTGGGGGTCAAGGTCAGGGTTGCTAGAAAAAAAACAAGAAAGATCTGTTTAGTGAAATGCATATTTAACTCAACGCAATATACTCTGCATTTATATAATATGTGATGTGTAAAAACAGTAACATATAATAATAATTTGGAAGAACAGAAAATGCATGGTTTTACTCTCACAAATAGTGACTTTGGCAGAGTCCTGCCAAAGGAAACAGAACCATTGCAATAAAGCAAATGAGTTTTTATGCCAAGAGGGAACTCAGTTACTTTTTAGGCAGAAATTCCCCTTTTACTGAGTTGTATGTTAATAATAAAATGTAAAAGAAAGCCTCCACATTTTAGACAGGTATTAAACTTGGTTTTTAAACTGAAATTTGGTTGGACTTTTTTTTTCCAATGGCTATCATTGCCAGGAAATGAAATCAGCCACTTGTTTATATAGTAAAATGTGACCTTACCACAGTGATCTGATTTGTGTTAACCTAAAAAGTGTGAGAAATAGTCTTAAGCCTATTAGGAACTGAAAGTTAGGGGGTTTTTCTTTCTTTTTTTTTAACCAATTATGATTTCTTCTCTGCAATACTTTGTTAAAGAGTTCAATGATTTGCACTCAGAAGTTACATAGGCAACCAAGTGTAATACAAAGAATTGGTCTGAAGTCTTTTCAGTCAAGGAAATAAGAACAGAACAAAAAGAACATGCAGCTCCCTAGGCTTCAGAAATCTCAATAGAAAACAACATTAAGTTAGTGAAACTGTAGATGTTAACATATGGAAAACAGTTCTTGTGCAAAATATTAAAATTAACACCCAGGATTTGTTTGTATTGATTATTTTCTATAATGTCTGACCTACAGACCTTTCACATGAAAGGGTTTCTAACATGAATTGTTTTGATATTATGAAGCCAAAAAGTTTAAGAATCTCGCAGTTGAAACAATCCAACACTAACAAATTCTAGTGATCAAAGACATTCTCTTTTAGTTCATGTAAAACAAGGACAATTCAGAATTACGAAGAGAATGTCCTAACTGTGGACATGATGAGACAAGCCAATTTATCAGACCAAAAGGCACTCACAGCTAGGGATGAAATGAACTGAACCAAGCTAGCAAAGGTGGGCTAGTTCCCTTATAACAATGGTTATCTACTGTTAAGTTCGTATGGCCCAAGGACAAAGGAAACATTGGGCAGGAAACGTTCCCTTTCCTCTATGCACCACTCATTCAGCCTGGACTGGCCATCCTCATTAATGTTTAGGTAAGCTTGAGGAAGTTCAGTTCCAGTTCAAAGCTGTTCCCTCCCTATGCAAAGCTGCTACTTGGATGAGCCACAAGGTAGTTTTCCTGAGAGCCACCTGCCACATGTTAAGTTTTCTTTTAAAAAGAAGAAAAAGACCACAACAACCACAACTAAAATGAGAAAAAGAAAGGAGAGAGAAAAAAGACTTAAGACTACTTCAAGTGGAGATTTTAAAATTAATTTTAGACTACATCATTCCACAAGTACTCTGTGGGTGGGTGCAGTATGCATTGCACTTGGTAGCAAGCATCCCACCTGTACTGCTCTGTGTTTGTTTATTTACTGAACATCTACAAGTCAGAATAGTCTGTATATAATTATATAGACAGGCATGTGATAGACATTCTACAGTGTTCCAGTGTATTTACATAGAATTTGAGTTACTACTCCCTCAATGCAAATTTGGATTATTTCCAGAAGACTCTATTCCTACCCTGATCTAAAACACTAGCTGCAAGTATTTTTTTCTGTCTGCTATTTTAAATGAATTGAGTTTCTGCTAACTTTATTCTAACAGTATTAAAACAGGGAAGCTCACAGATAGTGAGGCTTGACCTGGTGATATGTGTATTACATATAATGTTGCAGATGAGCACTTATGGTATGCAAATAGAACCCAAAGCAAAAGAGAACAAAAAATGGAAACATTTTATTATCCAAGAAAAGGTCAGATTGAAGTCTGTGAGTAAAAAGGAAAGAATGAGGATGGTAGATAGAGCACAGAATAAGACAGTAGAAATGTCTCCCCACAAATTTAAATGGATTGAACTTTAAAGGAAAGACACTCAGAATTTTTTTAAGCTAGTTGTGTGCTGCTAAGAGAATGTAATTCAAAGTCATTTAGAAGGGTTGAAAAAATCATAGATAAACACATATCAGGCAGATCCCAACTGTGAAAAGGTTAGAATAGCAATCTTAACAGAAAACAATGGAATTCAAGACATATTAAATATTAATAGGAATAAAGAAGATAACAACAAAAGAAAAGCCTACAAAAACATAAAAATAACCATTAAAAGTACATGATTAGGGGCTGGGAAGGTGGCTTAGTGGTAGAGTGCTTGCCTTGCATTCATGAAGCCCTGGGTTCGATTTCCTTAGCACCACATAAGCAGAAAAAGCCGGAAGTGGCACTGTGGCTCTAGTGGTAGAGCGCTAGCCTTGAGCTGAAGAACTCAGAGTCAACACCCAGGCCCAGAGTTCAGGCCCTATGACTGACCAAAAAAAAAAAAAAGTTCATGATTAAATATCAAAATTAGTTGACAAATTTGTGCTAGAAAAATTGATATTTAAAGAAGAATTTGGCAAAGTAATAGGTCCCATGGTTTCCCTTATTTGCAATATCTAGTATATGTCTGAATCAAGCAGAAAAGGTCAGATAAGGTGATGTTAGGGAAATGAACCCTAAGAGATGTATTCAAATTTTTTTTTCATGCGATTGTTTCTAACACATTTATAAGATTATTTCTTTGTTGCTTTGTATGTCCCTCCCCCACAGTATAACATACCCTGCTTTCACTGTATTTGATGTCGGTATAATTTGTGGAGGGGAA